AATTCCTTCATTCAAATGAAGAAGTGATCCAGAGGTATAATTGGAGTGGGAAAAGAAAGTATAATTGATATTTGATTGCCACAATTATTGGAAAGAAAATAAGGTAAAGATTGTGGTGCTTGACCGATTATGCTATCATTTGGTGGGATCAAGTAGTAACATCTAGGAAGAAGAACAGTGAGAGACATGTTAATACATGAGCAAAATTTAAGTCTATCATGAGGATGAGGTTTGTGTCTAATCATTATTATAGGGAGTTTCATCAAAAATTGTAAAGCCTCTATCAAGGTTCTAGGAGTTTGGAGGATTCTCAAAAGGAGATGGAGATTGTTATGATTAGAGTGAATGTTGAGGAGGATATGGAGGCCACCATGGCCCAGTTTTTGAATGGTTTGAATATGGAGATAGCTAATGTGGTAGAGTCGAAACATTATGCGGAGTTGGAAGACGTGCTACATGTAGCTATGAAGGTGGAAAGACAATTTAAGAAGGAGACAACTAGATATTCATCGGGTTCTAACTCTTCTTAGAAATTGAAGTGGGACAACAATAAAGTTGATGAGATTGTTTCAAAAGATAGAACTGAGCTATCGAAGGGGAGAGATGAAGTTGCTAGCAGAACTGCACTCAAAACGGATTCCCAACCCTTTCAGAATCATGACATCAAGTGCTTTAAGTGCTTGGGATCGGGACACATTGATTCTCAATGTCCAAACAAAAGGGCGATGATCTTGCACGACAATGGAAAAGTAGTGAGTAATAGTGAGGGTGAACATGAAGACATGTCGAAATTGGAAAAAGCTAGTGATGGTGAAAAAGTGGAGTACGCAGTGGTGAAGCTATTGGTTACATGGTGAGCTCTTAGTGCTCAAATCAAAGTAGATGACTTAGAGTAATAGAGTGAGAACATATTTTATATGAGATGCCATGTCACAACAAAGTATATAGTATGATTATTGATGGAGGTAGTTGTACCAATGTGGTTAGCACTACACTTGTTGAAAAGTTGTGATTAACTATGTTAAAACATCATATGCCTTACAAATTGCAATGGTTGAATGAATGTGGAGAGGTTAAGGTGAATATGAAAGTTTTGGTGAATTTCTCAATTTGGAGGTATAGTGATGAATTGACGTGTGATGTGGTTCATATGCATACTGGTTAGTGTATTTTGTACACTTATTTAGATTGTCAAAACATGGATATTTGTTATTATTTGGAT